AGCCTCCCAAGTAGCTGGGACTACAGGTGCCTGCCACAGTGCCTGGCTATTTTTTTTGTTGCAGTTGTCATTGTTGTTTTTAGCTGTCCTGGGCCGGATTTGAACCTACCAGCCTTGGTGCATGTGGCCAGTGCCCTACCCACTGAGTTACGGGCGCCGCCTAATTGGTATCTTTAATCCATGTTTCTCCTTGTAAAAGGAGTTTTGAGTTATAATTGTTTTCTATTCTCTGCTCTATCAGTGATGCAGTCTGGTAAAAGGGAGGGATACTTCAACTTAAATTAGTTTTCTTATTTTCAAATTAGAAAGTAGAAACGTAGGAATGTGAGAACTGTTTTCTTTGCTACAATGGACTCTTTACTATGCTTTCATCTTTTCTTTTCAAATTGTCTTTGTGTGTTTCTTTGCAGTTGGTCTCTTCCTATGGCGATGTCCATTTGCCATCGTGGCACCGGTATTGCTGTGAGTACAGGTATGTATGTGTGTTTTTCTACACATGTGCACACATAGTTCTTTGAAAAACTTGGCTGTTTCTGTAGCTCTTGTTACCGCCTCCTTTACAGTTCATCAACTCAATTTAGAGGGAATGATGACTTTCTTTAAGCTTATTGTTCATTTATTCCTTTAATAATTAATTATGAGTTCCCACTATGCTCAGGTTCTTTTCTTTGAGACAGAACCCCACCAAAAACAAAAACTAGATTAGGTTCTCCAGATGCACACTTTAAAGGCGTTTAGATATTTTTCTGTAATAACACTCATCACAGTTACAATTTACTTGTTCTTGTCGTTCTTTCTTACTGGTTTGTATGTTCCATGAGGGCTAAATCTGTCTATGCTTTTATCATTCAGTATGGCAGCTAGAATGCAACAGATAATTCAGTAAATATCTGCTGAGTACAAAATGAATACCACTTTCTTTTTCTGTTAATAACGTTTCACATGTTCATGTTCTAAATTTCTGTTTGGTTTGTAATCATATTTTAGCCTTTGCAAGTATTGTATTTTGCTCCCCTACATGCCAATTATAATAACTACCTAACTAGTATTGAAGTTCAACATTTATATTTCTGCATTATGTGATTACTAACTTAGCTGAAAGATTATTCAATTCAGTGGGAACAAGAAGAGTTTGTCAGACATTAGAGTGCTGCAGAGGTAAATCTGAATTTGTTCTTCCTCATTCTCCTTGAGATACCTGGGAACTTGCGTTCTCTCCTAGCAAAATTGATCTAGCTTTTATATATCCACAGGAGGAACAGATACAAACTAAGAATGGTAGAATGCTTTCTAAAAGAAAAGTTCCAATGAGCTGTTAGCATATATTCAGCAAGACTTCTATTCCAAGTTGATAGCCCTAGGCCCTTTGTTGGCAAAGGAAAATGAGCTTATGACTTTGAACAGCATGTAAATATAAATCCCTGCTGTGTGCACAAACTTTTTTTCTTCTGTGGATATTTCCCTAGCATGTCTTTAACCTCATCCTAGGGAATAAGAGAAAATATCTTGCCTAGAATCTGTATAAGGTCATACCTATGTGTGCTAGACAGAAGCCCCGCTTTTTTTTTTTTT